GACCAACCGTCCACGCTTTTCCCCTAATTTTTTTTTTTAAGGCACAACAGTCAAAATTATGACCTGTTGGCCATGTGGCACCTTATAGGCTGTTGGATTTGAATATTTTTCAAATTCAACGGTCCAGATTAGTTAACTAACTTAATAAAAAATTATTAAATTTTTTTAAAAAATACAGAAAAATTTTAAAATTTTATTTTTTTCTATAAATACTTAATCCTCATCTTCCACCTTACACCACATTTCAATATTTTCTACACTTTGAGAGAAAAAAATGACTTCGTGGAAGCTCATTGAAGATGTTACGTTGTGTGAATATTGGGTTCACACTACTCATGACCCGATTACGGGTAATGAGATGGTATAAGCGAGAAATGTGGAGTAAAATTATGAAAGTGTTTTGCCATATACATGGAAAAGACGCCAGAAGTAGTCAAGGTCTTTAAGGTCGTTGGAAAAAACTCAACGCATCCTTTACTTGTTGGAAAAGCGCCATCTCTCATGCTTCTAGTAATCTGCGTAGTGGGACAAGTTTAGCGGATAAGGTGACAATATTTTTATTTATTTATATGCATTCCACCCACATCAATATTTTAATTTATTTATTTGTGTTACACCTGCATTTTTTAATACAATCTTATCCCACATTTATAGACACTACAAGCACAAGCATTATACAATGCAAAGAACTAGAACAAAATCATTCAGCAGACGGGAATGTTGGCAAATTGTCAAAGATTGCCCCAGATACAAAATTGTGGCAACCGGTCTAGAAGTTGTCATACATGGCATGCGTCTACAAAAGTTCGCCAAAAGCAGACATGGTCGAACAAAAAGGCGACATATTTGAAGACACGAAAGGGACGCGCTGAAGAAGTGTCGGAGACCCAACCGACTCGTTAGTCCCTCAGGCCTCAAGGTAAAAAGGCATCAAAGAAAAAAGGTAGTTCTTCCAAAAATGACTACATGAAATATATGGACGAACTTGCTTGCCAAGGTGAACTGAACATGGCTAGCGAAACGACTAGAGATGAGGAAAAAGCTGCTGCTATGGTAGCAATATTAGGCTATTAGCAGCTACTAAGAGACAGACAAAGAGAAATAGTTAATCGAGAGAACGAGATGACTAGAGAAGAACTTAATCGAGAAAATAAGATGCTTAGAGAAGAAATGATGGTTCAAGTAGATCGTGACACAATGAACAAGCCTTTATTAGGACTGTCTTCGATTTCAAAATATTTTTGGACATCAGAAAAAAGAGACGTCATGCGAATGAGGCTTGCAAGAGATGTGGAAACAAGTCGATGGGGTTCTAGCTACACAAATCCTAGCAACGAAGATCCTAGCACCACATATCCTAACTCCAAAGACTTTGTATAATTTTGTATTTATTTGTAGTACTTTATTTAATTTCTTTTGTAATTTTTATGTAATTTCATCTTTATTTTTAGTAATTTTTTATTTATTTTTATTAATAGATGTAATTTCTTATTTATTATTAGTACTTTGTGTAATTTCTTATTTATTATTAGAACTTTATGTAATTTCTTATTTATTTTTAGAACCTTATTTAAACACATCAAATAAGATTAGATAAACTCACCAAATAAGCTTACATAAACTCACCAAATAAACTTTAAAAAAAAACACCAAATAAAATTACATAACCTCACCATATAAACTTAAAAAAAATACACTAAATAAGATTACATAAGCTCACCAAATAAACTTAAAAATAAAAAAAACACCAATTAAATTTACATAACCTCACCAAATAAACTTAAAAAAATACACTAAATAAAATTACATAAACTTAAAAAATACACTTTATTCTTCAACCACAAGCTCATTTTAATTATCTTCACCTTCTTGCAATCCCCACTGGTGCTCAATTAAGTCACTCTGGCGGATTACGTGCCAGTATGGCTTTTGCACTGAAATGTACCGCTGAACGATCAATTCATTGTAACGTCCATCCCGTTCCAACGACTCGTGTTTCACAGGGATCTTCGATCCGGACATGAGCACGGTAGATACGTGTTCTTGAGTTGTTCATCAAATCCGACTAGTATTCATCGACGGCATCATAATCATACTCATCTTCCACAATCATGTTGTGAAGAATAATACACGTCATCATGATGGATCAAAGAGCCTCGACATCAAACATTCTAGCAGCAGCCCTGACAATCACCCAACAAGCTTGCAGGATACCAAAACAACGCTCAACATCTTTCTTACACATCTCTCAACATTTTGCGAAGTGTTTTTCTTTTTCACTCTGTGGATGTGGCATTGTTTTGACAAACATTGACCACCTTGGGTAAATGTCATCTGCAAGGTAGTATGGTCCCTTGTATTTATGACCATTAACCTAATATGTGCATCTCGACGATTTTCCTTGCAGCGGTTCGTCAAACACTGAAGATTGGGCAAGGACATTTAGGTCATTTTGAAATCCTCGAACACCAATAAAAGCATGCCAAATCCACGTATCAAATGAAGTCACTGCTTCCAAAATACTTTTGGCTTATTTTCTGTCGCTATAAGCTCATTGCCACACACTTGGACAATTTTTTCAAGTCCAGTGCATGCAGTCGATGCTTCCAATCATGCCAGGGAACCCTCGCATCTCACCCTTCCTCAGAAGCCTTTGCATGTCTCTTGGTGTGGGTTTCCAGAGGTACTCATTGGTGTAGAGGGCTTCAATTGCAGAGCAAAACCGCATCAGGGACTCCAGAGCAGTTGTTTTTTCCATGCTCGCGATCTCATCCACTTGATCTGCAGATGTTCCTTATGCAAGCATTCGCAAAGCATCCGTAATTTTTTTCTTAGGAATAAGACCTAGAACATGAAAAGCATCATCTTTTTGCACAAAGTATGGATCATGATTGCAAATAGCACTCATAATTTTGTCAAACAAACTTCGTTGCATTCTAAAACGACGTCTAAAAACATGATCAGGGAATACGATGTTGGAAATAAAATAATCTTTCAAGGGATCTTTACCTTGTCTTTCCCTTTTTCTATCGAATTTTGCGGCACGTCTGGGTTTGGCTATCTGACCCACAACTTCCATGACACAGCGGAATGTGAGGCCCTCTACCTTCTATGGTCATGATCCTCATCCTCCTTCATTGCAAAAGCCTCATCTCCACCTCCACCTTCCTCGAGATTGACCAATTCTTCCTATTGTCCAACAATCTTTTCTATTGCTCCTCAAACTGTTTATACACTCTCCTTGAAGAAGATATTGTAAGAACTCAAGATTTGAAAACGATGAAGAAGGATTCTGAGCTAAAAAGAAAGATTGAGTTTGGTGTGAGGATAGATGTAGGGATGTAGGGTTTATATGGACAATAAAAAAGGGGATGAGGTTCTGGACAATGCCACGTGGCACTACGTGATTGGTTAAAAATCTTATCAGAATCTTGGTTAAATTATTGTGAATAGGAAGTGACACATGGCACGTTGGGATTGGTTGAAAATCTTATCGGAAATCTATCCACAAAATAGTACGTTCAGATAATGATACATGGCGTGACAAGATTTGTTGAAAATCTTATTGTAATCTTGGATAAATTATTGTAAACAGATAGTGACATGTGGCATGTCGGGATTGGTTGAAAATCTTAGCGGAAATCTATTCACAAAATAGTAAGTTCAAATAATGACATGTGGCGTGACGAGATTGGTTCAAAATACTATCCGAAATTAAAACCATTTTATTTATTTATTCTTTTAAAAAAATTAAAATATTTTAAATAGGTTGGGTGCCAGCACATTTTGTAGGTGTGGTGTCACATCCCAGTTTTGACTTTACCGTAGCACGATATTATCCGCTTTAGGCCCCGGCCACGCCCTCATGGTTTTGTTTATGGGAACTCACACTAGAACTTCCCAGTGGGTCACCCATCCGAGGATTGCTTTCGCTCGAATTCACTTAACTTCGGAGTTTTAATGGAACCAAAGTCAGTGAGTTCCCAAAAGGCCTTGTGCTATAAGAGGTGGGCATGTACATATAAAGCACATCACCCCCTCTCCGTTGGTCGATATGAGATATTAAAATCCACCCCCTTAGGGGCCCAACATCCTCGTCGGCACACTCGCACCACACAATAAAGTGGCTCTGATACCATTCTATCACATCCTAGTCTCGACTCCGCCGTAGCACGATATTGTCTGCTTTGGGCCCCAGCCACGCCCTCACGGTTTTGTTTCTGGGAACTCACACAAGAACTTTCCAGTGGGTTACCCATCCTAGGATTGCTCTCGCCCAAACTAGCTTAACTTTGGAATTCCGATGGAACCCGAAATCAGTGAGTTCCAAAAGAGCTCGTGCTATAGGAGGTAGGCATGTACATATAAGGCACATCACCACCTCTCTGTTGGTCGATGTGGGGATGTTATAGGTGGAGATCGTTTGTGCCAGCGCATTTTTTAGACTAAGTGCTAACGCATTTTTTTAGGGGTGGAGATACATTTGGCCTATTACTGTTCATTGGGGTCTATCATTGTTCACTGAGTGGATTAAATGGGCTGAGTGCCGGCACATTTTTTTAGGGGTGGAATTGCTCTCAAGGGAGTCATGATAGACAATGAGGCCTAACTTAAGGCCACTTCCTAGATCAGCAAGGCAGTCCAACATCATGTTACGCTTTATGTGATTTTTCATGTTATTTTAAAAATAATTGAAGCCATTAAGTATTACGGTATATTGGTATTTATCTTCATTTGTAAGTGAAATGTCTTAGACTCGATTCTCTCCAAAGATGAATTTGAACCACATTATTGTTAACCCATTGAAGGCTAAGTTCATCCCCTCCTCATAAATAATATTATTTGTTTAAAAAAAAAAATAATAATAATTGAAGGGTGTCCAGAAATACAAATTGGATGTAAATAGAATTTTCCATTTCTATCGTTAGGCTTGGCATTTTCAACCTAACCCGTTAACCCAACCCGTTAAAATTAGTATTCGGGTGGGTGATAAATGAGTCGGGTGGTTAACGGGTCAACCCGTTAATCACCCGTTAAATAACATATCAGTTTGGGTGAACCTGCGAAGCCCGTTAACACCCATTAGTAAGGACTTTTGTGTAATTTCAATAGTTTCCAAAACCCTCAAGTTCCTGACTTTCTCACTGCCTCGCACGCCATTGCTCTCTGAGACTGAGAGATTGATGTGCTCCGTCCTTCTGGCTCCAGTTATCTCCCTCATCTTCTTCCCTCAAAATTTTTATTAAACTCCACCACTCTCTCTCTGGTAAGCTCTGATTCCCTTCCCCCTCTTCTTTCATTTCGATTACTTTTCGTTTCTGCAGATTAGATTCGTCTATTATTTCTCAGATTTTACTTGAGCTTGATTTTAGTTGGTCTCTGCAAATTAGATTCGACCCTTTTCGGTATTTTTTTTTTTGGTTGTGTTTTGGATATTGGGTTTTGCTTCTTGTTCATGGGTTTTGTGTAAAAAATCTTCATTTGTATATTCTCCAATTAAAATTTCCATTTATGGGTAAATTGGAGCTGTTAATTTACCCGCATGAAGTTAAAAGTATTGAGTTTGCTTTGTTTTGGTTGGTTTTTGGATTGGAATTGGGTTGTTGTTTTTGCATTATGTCTGTTGTTTTTGCATTAATTAGGTCTTAGGTTAAATCTTTAGTTTTGAGGCCGCTGTCAATTGTGGCCGATAGAAAGAACATGCATTGATTAGGTCTCTGCATTATGTTTAACAAATCGCAGGACATAGGATGCTATTGTTTTTGGATTTTGGCAGACTGTTGGTTTTAAAAAAGGAGGCGTTAGGCTAATGTAGTGTAGGGGGAGAGTAAGAGGAAAGGTCCTGAACAAAAGCACTTCACTTTTGAATTTGGAATTTCAGAGGACATGACCTGCTTTAGGAAAAATATATATAGTAGTTAGTTTTAGTTTGTAGCATTTGATTCTTCGGGTTTTTGAATCGTTAAATCTTTAGTTTGGACTGTAACTAGATAAGCCAAAGGAGTAGAACTTGATAGCATGCCATTTCCTTACAGATATTAATGTTTTCATCATCAAGATTCTTGTATTCTTCTTTTCGTTTTTTGGCATGGTGTATTGACATGTATCAGAATCTCTCTTTGAGTATAGCCGTGTTTTCTTTTATGCTCTCAAATTGCATCTCAACTTGTTAGTATTCATATGTGTATCTCCAATTTTTCGGATTCAATTTGCAATTTGTTGTGAATTGTGTGCAAAGTTTTCTGATAAAATGCTTGAAAGATTTGGGATTTGTACATGCCGTAGCTAAGGCACATTTGATACTTTCTTGTGTTGTTATAAGCTCAAATCTATGGTGGGTGTTTGTGTTTTCTGTTCCTTTTGTCCGATTTGCAATTTCATTTCTTTCCTGCGAGTATGAACCAGTTGTTATGGGTTATCTGATATTTAGTTTAATTATCCCTTGATGTTTATGCATGCAAGCATGTCTATCAGAAACATTTGTCACATAGAGGTGAATGTTGAAGGCAAAAAAGTAGCATAGGATGCAATGCAAGAAGGTTGGCAAAAATGCAAACAGAGGATGCAATGCAAGAAGAAGAAAGAGAGCTACTGTAGTCTGTAGTGAGACATTGGTTGAGATTTGAGAAAAAAGAATTAGAGTGTTTTACTTATATCCATGTTAAGATTCGGAGAAACATATAACTAATAGAAAGTCGAATTTTATTATATAAAATGGGTTTGTAATTGATTTGGATGAAATGTGTAAAAAAATCAAAAACAAAAACAAGTGACAGGTGACCCATTAAAACCCGTTAACTGAATGGGTTGAATTTAGATGACCCGTTTACAGGCCTATTTGTCGTCTCATGCCAAAGACAAAAAGGTTAATTAGGGGACATGATTTTCCTGCCGACGAAGCCTAAGACGTTTTGGGAGATTAATATTCATAGCGAATTGAAAAATTGGTCATGTCTAACAATGTACCATTGATTTGATGGTACGGTACATATTTCATGATTCTTCGGGGCCATGATATCAAACATTTGTATTGCACAGTATTCTTGAGGACTAACTTTATTCTACTTGTCAATCTCAACGATATAATGTTGTTCAACAAAGCTAGATGCTAAAGAAATGTAACAAGACGGAAAACAAAGAGATAATATTGAGATATCGTTGTAGTTTTGGTTTTTGGTTCACTTGCAGCTATTTTGGTCGGTACAGAAATTAAGTGGCCAAGAAAATACACAACGTTTTTCATGCTGGCCATGTGAGATTGGTTAGCAGTCTAGTTCTTCATTTAAAAAAAAAAAAACTGCATCTGCAACTACAATCCAATTGTCGCTGACCATAACGGTTCTATCGTCGATAATTAAATTAAATACGGCTGGGTTCACTGTTCCTTTCCACATGGATGGAAGAACTCATACAAGTCAGATGCTTTTATTTCTCTTTCACATGAAAACGGAGTATTTATAAACTGGTTTCTTTAAAAAAAAAAAAATGGAAATGAAAACGAAGACCAACTGGAAGATTGGTGATGGGTCTTTAATATACTGGAAAAGATAAATTTGTTTTTTGTTTCACATACGTTGAACTAGGGTTTGGAAAGTTGGAACGAATATGAATGCGACACCTAGATTTGACCCTTCTAATAAAAGAAAGAGGATTCGGATCTTTCTCAGCAAAGCTTCAGAATCAAGTGATCTAGATCGTTAAAATTTAATTAAATAGTTACAATTATTATAATTTTTAAACGGACCTTCTATTTGTAACCTATTGGATCAAATTTCAACGGTTCAAATCACTTGATCCTAGACCTTTGATGAGAAATATCTGGACTGGATCCTCTTCCCTAATGAAATGTGGTACATAAGCAGAATTCACAAAATTTAATATCCATGTGTTGCAAGATGTACATTTATGTTAAAAATTATCATTTGATATATTAAAAGAAGTGTTCAATATATGATATTTCGGTTTTGTATTAGAAATATAGTTAATGGATGTTAAGCAGTATTTTTCTTGACATAAGCATAACAACTAATAAAAAAGTATATGGCAGTTGGTGAGTAAAGCCAGACTTTACAAGTGAATATTCATATTTAAACAAAACCATTTCGATTATCTAATAAAGCACAGCAGAAAAATTGTCTTGGTATACACTTGTTTTGATGATTAACCTTGGTCCAAAACTTGAACATCATTTACTCTCCTTTCCTTTTCACTTCTTTACAAAACAAAAGCTAAACAAGAAAGGACTATACCTCTCTTTTCTTTTTGCTTCAATGACCTTTCATTTTTTTCGGTTAATGGCTACTTTCTCACGACTAGTACTCTCTAATCAGTATAAACACGAGCATGTTTGAGTTGCAGACTAGAGTCGTATGAGATCTTATTTTTCATGTAAGGTAAAGTTATTATTGAAACATAATACACAATCTACACGAGTTTGAAACTTTCATGAATAACAACACTTCGTACCCGAGTCCTTGACTTCTCTTGGTAATTTTTTTTTTTCACATCATTTCAAAAATTTTATTACATTTTTGTTACTAACGTACCCTCAGTGTAAATTGATAGTATAGGTAATACTGTAGCATTTTACTTCCAATACATGCATATATATATTTCTTAGCTGACTCTTAACAAAGTGGCTGCTGCGTTGATGCCCACTGTAAACAATAAATGGAAGCACTTGGCGCACAATGCAGATATGTTAAAAGTGATTTTGCCTTTTGATATTTCGGCAAGTGGTTGCCAGAGAGACTTGTAACCATGTGATGTCTTGCCATCCTAATACATCCTTCACAATTTTCCTGAATTTTCTTTTATAAATTTAAGTTATTAAACTAAAAGAAAATATCACTTTCAAGTAACTAGTGTTAGACTTGAGACATCTCTCTTTAAGACATTCAATTGAATTTACGAAGGCGTGCATGGAAAGGTCAAATTCATTTGAAATGTTTGGATTTGAGAAAAAATGGATTCCCTCCCTGCTTCTGCTTTTTGGAGAATAAATTACTTCAATCTCTTCGGTATATTATTAAAACTATATAAAATAGAGTAATGCTATTCATATCATGTTTTTGTACCACATTTCTATACCACCTTAGATGACATGGACAGTCACATCATTTAAAAAATTTGCAAAACCAAGGGAAATAAAGAAGAAAGACTCCTCGTATATTATAATCGTTATTTAATTAACTAGTTTTTCTTAATTATTAGTTTATTAAATAATGAACTAAATTTAAAAATCTAATTAATTCAAATTATGTGGATGTCCACATCAAATGTCATCTAAGGTGGTATGAAAATATGATACGAAAACATGGTATGAATAATATTACTCTATAAAATAACATTACAACCTGAACTTTTTCGTGTTTTAAACCAAAAATTAAATTAATAGTAATATGTTCGAACAAAAGATTACTTTTTAATTTTGATACAAAGAGTATTGAGAGAGAGGCTAGTGAATCAAACCTAAAAGAGTATCAAATATATAAGTAAATGCTCTTAACTATTTAAATTATAAGTCATTATGAATGAAAGAGTATTTTTAAAGTAACGTGGTAAATATAAGGTATATAAGATATAAAGAATACTTTGTTACTAACGAACCTTGAACATAAAGTAATATTATAGGTAACACTGTTATATTTCACTTTCAATGTTTACCTTTTTGTTTCTCTGTAAATTTGAGTGCATATTTCTTATCTGACTGTTTAGACAGTGGCCGCTGCCTTAAGTGACATTGATACCCACTGTAAACAAGAAATAGATCGGCTTGGCCGCACAATGTAGGGGATCTTGATCAGCTGAGAGGGAAAGCTGATAAGCCAGATGTGTAAAAACTGGCTTTGCCTTTTGATATTTCGGCAAGTGGTAGCCTGGAGAGACTTGTAACTATATGATGTCTTGTCACCCTAATATATCCTTCCAATTGTTCCTGAATTTTCGTTTACAAATTTAAGTTATTAAACCAAAGGAAAATATCATTTTCAAGTAACTAGGGTTAGACTTAGATACATCTCTCCTTAAGACATTCAGTTGAATTTACGAGTGCGTGAATGGAAAGGTCTAATTCATGTTAAATGTTTGGATATGAGAAAAGTGGTTTCCCTCCCTGCTTTTTTGGAGAATAATTACTTCAATCTCTTCAGTATATTATTAAAACTAATATAAAATAACATTACAATGGTACTTTTTAGTATTTCGGACAAAATTAAAGTATACTTTAAAAATAATTAATTAATAGTCACACAAAAAATTAAATTAATAGTAAAATATTCGAATAAATGAGAGGGGCTAGCAAATCACACCTACAAGAATCTAAAGTACTATTGAGAGAGAGGCAAACTAGAAGAATCTCAACTGCATAGATAAATACTTTTAACTGTTTAAACTATAAGTCATTTACGAATGAAAGAATTTTGAATACAATGATTGAATTAAAGTAACATGGTAACTATAAGGTATATAGACGACTGAAAAGTATTTCCAAAATCTATTATTAATACAATGAATTCATCTAAGTTGATTAGAATATTGTGCTTCCTTTATGCACTCTAGTCCGAATCCTCTTTTCGTAGTTTATATGAATACAAAATACCAAAATATTAAATTAAATTTCATAAAAGCATTGCTCGTTTGAATGTTCGTTAAATTGATAAAAGATATGTTATACCTATACCAAAGCTCAGTAGAAAAAATTGTTTATTAACAGTGAATTGACCGTCCTGCCCTTCAGTTTCTCTTATTGCCTGTTGTTTATTTTGCTAGGGGAAATTATGGATTTGCCCCTTCTGTAATGTGGCGACATAGTGGAAGGTTTGGGTCTGCTTCAACTACAATATCTCGACTTTTGAGTGACACATTTGGCTCATTGGCTAGTGTTGCATCATATGATAAGATCGATTATTTGCAGGTACTCGTACTTAATAAAACCGCATGTACATACGTGTGCATGCATAATGGTCACACAAAATTTGGTAGTGCTTAATATTCACCATATGATTCATTTAACTGAGCAATAGTGTAATGCTATTTGGTGGGGTTAAAAAGATTAGTACTCTTTTGAATTTTGTATTCTCCCAATCAGTATGGGGCCAAGGCAGACAAGAACTTTTGCTTCATTCTCATCGACAGAGAGGACTGCCTCTCAGTCTTCTACTTTTCTCCCACTGAAATACTAATCACTTTTCTTCACACTACAATAGTTAATGGTTCTAACTTCTAAGGTGAAAAAAGACATAAAGAAATAATTTATTTTTTTTTAATTTTAGTTTTTAAGGTTTTTTTTTTTAATTTGAAATTTGAAAAACTCGTTAGTAACTACTTTTAGTTTTCACTCAATGTAAAAAATTGAAATCTGAACAAAGTAGCTTTTTGTTTTCGTTTTTAAGTTTTTATTTTTTATTTTTTTGAAAAGCAGTTAGCAAGTGAGTTTCAGTTTGCAGATTCCAAAATAGGTGAGTTTTCAGTTTGCAGATTTCAAAATAATCTAAATAAGTGAAAACGAAAACTGAAAACGATGAAATGACCTCTTATTTAATTATTTCATCAAGCTTGAGAAATAATCCTTTTTTTTTTTTTTTTTTTTTTGTGGGTGCTAGGATAATCCTTTCACTTTGTACATTTTGGAAGTAAATCTATATTTTGCAAAATATTCAGATACGGTTCCCTTTTCCATGTTAGTGCTTGAAATTCTTTGTTCACCACAAAGATTTTCAGAGTCTTGATACAATG